ATCGGATAGGGACCCAAGGTTCACTTCGAAGTTTTGGATAAGCTTTCAGAAACCTATGGGTACCAAGTTAACATTTAGTACTGCATACCATTCTCAGACTATTGGAAAATCAGAATGAACTATCCACGTTCTTGAAGATATGTTGAGAGCTTATGTCCTAGATTTTTGTGGTAAATGGGAAGATCATTTATTGTTGGTTGAATTTGTGTACAACAATAGCTTCCAAGAAGCTATTGGCATGGCACGTATTAGGCTTTGTATGGTTGACGATGTTATTTGCCATTATACTAGGATGAAATTGGTAAAAGGAGAATTTTGGGCCCAGAATTGATTGAGAAGATTGTAGAGGCTATATATAAAATTAGATCATCGTCAGAAGAGCTATGCTGACAAAAGAGAAAAAAATTGACTTTTGAAGTTGGAGATAAAGTATTTCTCAAAGTGGCACCGATGAAGGGAATACTACGATTTGGAAAGAAAGGAAAACTAAGTCCTAGATTTATCGGTCCATTTGAGATTATTGAAAAAATTGGGAAAGTGTNAGAGTGATATGACGTACAAAAAAGCTCCTGCAGTGATTCTGGAGAGAAAGGACGATTTTATGAGAAATCGAAGGGTTCCATTAGTTAAAGTCCACTGGGATAAACATGGTAAGAAGGAGGCTACTTGGGAAAGACAAGAAAACATTTTAACCAAGTATCTCAATCTCCTTAAACAAGTAAGTTAAATTTCGAAAATGAAATTATTTTAAGTGGGGAGAGTTGTAGAGACCGAAAAAAAAAACTTGTGTTTCGTTTTAAAAGAAATTTTCTCGTAGAACTTGAAAATAATTTGAGTTATGTTATTAAGTCACTACGACTTTTCTTAAGAGTTCAAATTAAAATTTAGGTCACAATAGTAAAGTTTCGCGCACTTGTTTTTAAAACTTTTGTAAGGTGTCGAATTTCTAGTAAATAACAAATTTTTATTTTGACGACACACGCTATTGTAATTATAGCATACATGTTTAGTGCTTAAATTTTAAGAATTAGATAAAATGGATATAGTGCACCAAACAACCCCATATTCATCCCATCATAATTATTATTTTTTTGCTCACTCACGGTTTTCCTCCACTAATATATTCCCATTTAATTTTTTTTATTCCTTAGCACTTTGAATCTAAAAAATTTTCTAAAGAAGAAGTAAAGAGAACACTGGATGTTATCATATATTGAACGCAAGAGGATATTCAAACTCCAAGTGTTCAAGGTAGGGGTGTTTCGACACTCTTGTAAGTGAAGTAAAAATTATTTGTTTTCGATTTGCATTTAACATGTTATTGTGTTACTCATGAGAGAATGGAAGCACCATTTGGTATTTCAAATAAGAGAAGAAGAGATGATTTATGACACATCAAAGGGGTTATTAAAACCCAAGAGTAAATAGACTAATTGATCGTCGGTTTGCTTTGCAGAATTGACGGTAACACAAATAACCAAAGTTACATTTATGAAAGTATATATTTTTTACCATTTACTTAAGTGTTTCCTACTGAGTATTACGTGTGGTACTCACTCCTACAAAATTTACTAGTTAATTGAAGGCATGACAATGGTTGGCATGGTGGCAAGTGTTCGGCGATTGAAATGCTTTTAACTTTCTAGTAAAATTTTTATTTGTGTAATTTTTTTAATGAATACTTAGACACTACTTTTAAAATGTTTAAATTTCTATTTCGCCTAGTTTTATATATAATGCATGTCGATTATAATTTAGAAACGTTGGAATGATTACACGAGGTTTATTTATTACTGGATTGAATTTCAGATTCTTTTCTCCTACTTAAAAATGGTATAACTTGGACTACATTGCATGTTTTAGAGTGAAATTAGTGGCTGAAAGGACTATGCGTCTTTTAATATGGGTCTTTGGAATTATCTTCAAATGTTATATGGAGAAAAAGTTATATCCATTTTAGTTAACTGCGTTGGTACAGTTTCGAAATTTTTGTCCAGAATAGTTGAAAAATTTTTTCGTGCTTCAAACATTATTTTCGAGACCCCAATTTTTTATATATTGTACGTATATGAATGCCATAGTTTCGTAATTTTTAGTCAACGTTTACTAGGCGAAACATATGTTTCTTTTCACTGCTGCGCAACCAATAGCTGCTAGATTTTCTTGAGATGTTTTTCAAAATCAAATTTTACAATAATTGTCTAAGTCTATGTGGACACATATATCCCATTATTATTCTTATGTATTTCAAAATCCAAAATTTTTATTAGTTACAATTTATTTTGGTTAGCATTAGAAAGCCCCAACTAAAAAGTTTTTTCATGTAACGTTTTGAATTTCAAGCATATTTTTTGGGCATTACATCTTTTCATCCAATTGCTCCGTCAAGTGAACAGGTTTAGTTAGATTTTTTCAAAACGAAAGAATATTCTCGTCTTTTCGCATTTTTCCCCTTTTAGAGGAACATCCAGACCTAAATAAAAGCAACGTTCCTCTACATATACAAAAAAAAAATAAAAAATCATTTAACATCCGGACCAATATTTCATTAATGAATATTGTTATGATAATAATTCAAACAAATGTTCATCGTGTAATTGAAATTTCCATTCTCAAATTTGAAAAAAAAAAAAAAAACACCTAATAATTCACTTTTCCAAAGTCTCAGAAAAATGAGACACTGAAAATCTAAAAAATAAAATAAAAAGGAAGCATTTTGTGAGGTAAAATTTAAAGGAACCATTACTACTCATCTAGTTGTGTTTTTTGAGCTTGATATGTTTTTATTCAATGTGTTGCGCCAATCTAGAACACCAAGCTGCTTTTTACCAATTCCCTATTTTCTAAAATTTCTTCTGATTTCGATTGAGCGTTGAATGGTTTTGAAGTAAAATTTGAGAAGGTTGCTGCACAAATCTGTAGAAGATCCGAGAAGAGGGATTCTGTGATTTGAATTTAAGGAGAAATAATTGGTTGGGTCTGTAGACGAATTTATCAAGTTGTATTGAAAGATTTGTGCAACTGTGAAGCGTGTGTTTGGATTATTGGTGAAGTTAAGGGAAGAATGGGGAAAATGTGGGAAGACTTGTATACCCTTCCCTTCTGAAAAAAATTGACTACTACAGTTTACTTAAAAAAGCAGTTGGTTGGAAATGGACGAAAACGATGTTTTGCACAATTGAAAGTATAATTAAGGGTGAAAATGTCAAAATTTGAAAGTAGAAATGTTTTTGCACAAGAATAACGAAATATAAGAACGTTACGTACTAATTACCTTTAAGTAAATTTAGCTATTTCAATTCAACCAATATTTTTTCAATGATTAATGACATGGTGAAATCATCTCTGTGAGATGATATTAATACAGAGTAATGCTATTCATAATTATCGATTGTAGTAATTATTCTATGTGATAACTTGTTATTTGACATATTATAGTTTTCTTTAATTCTGCTTCCTTAAACAATAAATTAATGCCTCATATAATAAGTTGTCACATAAAATGACTATTGTAGTACAATACTTTGAATAATATTTTAAGAGAATATATGGTTAAAAAGTAGAAAATTTTTTGCGTTTACTTGTAGAATATTTTATTATATGAATATGTAATTGTAAATGAGTGTGTAGAAAAAAGAATTTTCAAATAATAGTTGTCAAACATGAGCTTAATCTTTATGAGGTCTAAAGTGGCGTGCAAAAATTTGCCATATATATTTCATTTCTTGGTTATTGTTTAATTTGAGGTGTGCCGAATGGTATACAAGATTAAATAAATCTCATGTTGAAACTAAAGTATTCAATTATATCTTTATGAGGTCTAAAGTGGCGTTCCAAATTTGCCATATATATTTCATTTCTCAAGTTGATTATTATTTAATATATTTCATTTCTTGGTTATTGTTTAATTTGCAAGCAACGTGCAATGCACGTTTGCCTAGTTTATATTTAATAGTTTTGTTTAAGAATTAATTTGTTATTAATAAAAATGTAATTTTTTTGGTTAATTAAATAATTAATGATGTAATGTTTATATAATTGATAAATAAT